TGGAAGTCTAGGAAACTTAACATGATATCAGAGCCTCGTTTGTTGACCCAATAAGGGTGGCCCAAAAAGGATTTATTATCGGTCCTAAAGTGGGATTTGGTTCGAGATAGGCTGATAAGAGCCATCATCTCGAGGGAGCGTGTTAGAATCCCACAGCGGAAGTTTAAAGGGACTAACACTAGTATATAAAGGACTTGGACCTCTCCACTTATCGCCAATTGGTTTTAAGTTGGAAGCCCATGAAACTTAACATGGTATCAGGGCCTCGTTTGTTGACCCAATAAGGGTGGCCCAAAAAAGGGTTTATTATCGGTCCTAAATTGGGATTCGGTTCGAGATGGGCTGATAAGAGCCATCATCTCGAGGGGGCGTGTTAGAATCCCACATCGGAAGTTTAAAGGGACTAACACTAGTATATAAGGGACTTGGACCTCTCTACTTATCGCTAATTGGTTTTAAGTTAGAAGTCCATGAAAATTAACATGGTATCAGAGCCTCGTTTGTTGACCCAAAAAGGGTGGCCCAAGAAGGGTTTATTACTGGTCCTAAAGTGGGATTCAGTTTAAGATGGGCTGATAAGAGCCATCATCTTGAGGGGGCGTGTTATAATCCCACATCGGAAGTTTAAAGGGACTAACACTAGAATATAAGGGATTTGAGCCAATCCACTCATTGCCAATTGGTTTTAAGTTAGAAGTCCAGGAAACTTAACATGGTATCAGAGCCTCATTTGTTGACCCAATAAGGGTGGCCCAAAAAGGATTTATTATCGGTCCTAAAGTGGAATTCGGTTCGAGATGGACTGATAAGAGTCATCATCTCGAGGGGGTGTGTTAGAATCCCACATCGGAAGTTTAAAGGGACTAACACTAGTATATAAGGGACTTGGGCCTCTCCACTTATTGCCAATTAGTTTTGAGTTGGAAGCCTAGGAAACTTAACATGGTATCAGAGTCTCGTTTGTTGACCCAATAAGGGTGGCCCAAAAATAAGGTTTATTATCGGTCCTAAAGTGGGATTTCGTTCGAGATGGGCTGATAAGAGTGATGGGCTTGCGGGACTAGGGTTGTTTTTTAACAAACCCGTTGGTCCTCCTTAAGTTTTAAATTTATAAAACCCTAGTGTTTGCAAGTGCACAGATGTACGTTGTAGGACTTAGAGTGTCGATCCACATAGAGGGTCTAATCTGCAAGAAACAACAAACTGAGAAGTAAGCAAACTCATGAACCAATAAAAGATTTAGGGTTTTTGGTTAAGATCCTAAACTAAACATAATCTAATATTCACAAGAAATTTAATGCAGGATGAATTGTTAAAAGAACATCTAAAGCATATCAACTCAAACTAAAGACTCTTGAACTCATAGGTGGCGATTTAGACTTCTCCTGTTTACTCTAATCGATGTATGGTGGCATTTCCAATTAGCTTCCGGACGATTTATCTTCATCTGTTTCTAGGAATCTGCATTGAACTAGAATAGACACATGTATGATTAACCAACTGTCGTCACCTTAATGAATTAATCTCTTAGATCTAGCAATTAACTCTCGCTCTCATGCTAAACTTAAGATCATGCATTGAACATTGAATTCGTCTGCTCACATCTTCTCTATAGGTAGCTTTCGACTCCTATAGCAACTATGTTCTTCTGAAGCTAGGTACGGATGATCGATACAACACTCTCGTGGCTCTGATCAATCCTAGGCTCAGAGAATAGGTCATGAATCTACTCTCATGCTTTACGAATAACTTAGAAGTGATGAGATCCAGAATATGGCTACTAATCGATATATATGCTTGTCGATATCTTCAAACAATTTGACTCTCTGGGACTAATCTACATGATGCAATGAATGATGAAAGACATAGAAGAATGCAAAGGAATGAAACAGAAAAGTTAATAAGATAAAAAGGAGGAAGAACAATGGATCTAGGGAAGAATCCCCATCTCCATCACCTAACCCTAGAAAAAAAAATTTTGGTGGCTCAAAATCTCAACAGGAGCACACACGCGTTTAGGGCTGCTAAACAATGTATTTATAGGTCCTAAGGTCTTCCAGGTCTCATTTAGGGCTTCTCCGAAGAGAAATGGCGAAGTGGGCTTTGATGTTGGGCCTCGTGGCTCGTCCTAAGGTCCACCGGGGGTGAGAGTCTTCCAGGACAGGTAAAACATGTGTTTCCCGCGGGTGAGAGTCTTCTGAGACTGGTGAATTGGATCAACTTGTTCTCCATGTATCTTTTGATTGCACCGTTGGATCTTTATGATGTAAAGTGCTATGGAAAGCTGGTTGTCTCCTCTTGATTGTCTCTAAATTTGAGCTGGATCGGACGGTGATAAAGTCTTCATTTGAGGTTTAACTTCTGACGGTCTGACTCTGAGCTAAAAATGTAGATTTCTTCCATTTTGCCATCATATTCCCTAAGTTTCGTGAAAAAAGTCTTGAAACTACAAATACATGGAAATCATAATAAAAGTTCTTAAAACAAAGTAAAACCTTTGAAAAAGCATTTGGAATCAATGGTAAAAAGTGGTTAAAATCAGATGTTATCAAAGAGACATCATCTCGAGGGGGTGTGTTAGAATCCCACATCATAAGTTTAAAGGGACTAACACTAGTATATAAGGGACATGGGCCTCTCAACTTATCGCCAATTGATTTTAAGTTGGAAATCCAGGAAATTTAACAAAGGGTAGAGAGTTACGGCTGGAAAAGCGAACCGCCGATGACGAGCACCAGAGATTTGACGCCGAAGACGACAGAGAAAATTAAGCGAACCGACAAAGACGAGCATTGGAGGTTTGACGCCGGAGACGAGAGAGAAAAGCGAGCATGGACCAACAAGGTAGAAAAGGAAGCCATAGTTAGAGAGTGGAAGAAGAACGCTGGAAACTTGTGAGTAACAAGAAACGCAAGAAATGAAAGATAAGGAAGGTAAAAATTATGAAGAAGATTTCCTTGCAAAAAATTACTAATATAGAAGATGTTGCGTTGTTCGTTTATATAAATTTTTGTATTGACATATTTGCCCTTAATTATTCTATAACTTTTTTTTGTTGATTTTTTTAAACTCTTCAACTTTACATTATTAATCTATTTATTCTAAAACTCTTCGCGTTATAACTAAACCCACCCCCACCCCCACCCCCCTCCAACCAAAAATTATATATCTCATCCGTAAACTACCCAAACTTTTAATTCTAATTAATTTCACATATGTAATCAATTCTATATAATTGCATTTAATTAAGATTAATTACGTGTTTAAAATTGCGTTTACACACCCAACCCTAATGTGTTAGAAAGAAAAAAATCCTCCAAATGGAATTTACTATCTAGTTGTAGTACAAAATTTCAGTTTAGTATCTTTTTGTCACTACAAAAAATCAGTCTACAATCTTTTTGTCACCCACTCTCTCTTACTCAGTTACTCTCTTCATTTGTACATTCATCATCCTACATATTGAGGGTCTTTACACAGTCAATTTGTTTTCGAATAAAGGATATTCATTAATCTCAAATAGAGCTCCTGACATATACGTGTGAATCTCTAAATCACATAGGTGCAATGAAGCTAAGAGGAGATTCCTTAAATGGTAGTTTACAGGCATCTGCCACCATGAAGGTTTAGAGAGTGGAATGGCTAGAATTCTAGTGGTTCAAGTGGATGCTTCTGTGGCTGTAAGTCAAAATTTCAGAAGAATATTGTCAGTTTTTTTGCTTTCCTTTTGTTTTGGAATCTTACTTACTCTTGATTGTATTGATTTTACTCTAATGGTCCGTGGAAATAGCTTCTGCTTACTCGTCACTGTCTCTTGGTAGGGTATATAACGAGAAGCCAAAGGTATGGCCTTCCTCTTTGATACACAAAGCAAACTTGTCATCGGTAATCTGATTTTGTAGGACATTTGAAGCAGCGTAGAGACAAGTTTAAGTATATGTAACAAGGGACACACCACCTTTCAACATGTATTCATTTTCTTGATATGTTAAAACAATAACAGACGGACAAGAAGAAGTAAAGAAATGTTACAGAAAATTTCATATCCGACTGAAATAAATATGTTTGGTTTCAAGAAATAAAGATGTTTGGTTTCATAGAAAAAAAAAGGAAAAAAGAGAGACTTTCAAAGAACAGAGCCAGCAAACTATTGTTATAGAAAAGAGTAAGATTTTTTTTAATTCAAGGAAATTGTTTTAACTTTTTAACCATTGGCAGTTCAAAAAGCAGACTAGGATATATTCTTTTAAGGTTACATGAAGTTGTGAGTTCTCTTGGCTGATGTTAAAGTGTTGGATAGGAGCATGCTGTAGGGCATTACTCCTCCGACAGCAGCAACAGGTGCGATGGCTGATGCAACTTTGCAAACCTCCTCATAGCAAATGTCTTCAAGCATTCGATAGCCATACAGAGCATTTGGATCCTGCAATAGTATAAGAATGTCACATATTTTTGGTGACTTAATCTATTATAACTGCATTACCATAATTTCAAAAACTGTTCTCTTACCTTAACAAAACAACTGCCCAACAGCCTGAGATTATGATATCAGCTTGTCTTGAAATTTCTTCAGGGTTCTTGGTTCTTGAATGGATAATTGTAACAGTTGCATCCTCTCTCTTCCTTTTTTACAATAATAAAATACATTAACCCTAGAATCTCGTCTCATCTCCGGTACAGTTGAGACGAGCCTCAAATATCTTGATGTCAGAAATTGCTTTAATGGGTAATTGTAACAGTTGCATCCTCTCTCTTCCATTTTTACAATAATAAAATACAACAATAAAATATCTCTCAATTTGAGACTCGTTTGAGTTGTCAGAAATTGCTTTTTGAGTTTCTCCTTCTTACATTGAAAACCCGTGCGTTTTCAACTCTCCAAGGGAACAATGAATATTTAGATTTGGTTAAGTGAAATTGCAAACAACTCAAAATTGTTGATGATAAAGGTGTACCACCAATTGTTGAGATGCTTGCAACATTTGTGCTGCGTTAAAATAGAGTAATAACAGCTAATAAATGATATACACAATCGCAATTCAAGCATCTAAAACTCACTCACTCTACAATTCATACAATCAGTGAGGAAAGTTGACTTAATAAAAAAACTACAGCGATGTTTCAATCATTCAAGAAGGTTTCGAAATCGAATGTCAACGGACTGACATAGTCTTCACCTGCCGGTTCAGGCAACGGGCTAACCAGGCCGGTTTGGTTAGAGCCGTCCATAAGCCAGCTCTCAAATTCCGACAGTTTGGTCTGCAAGACGTTTTCATTAGCTCCGGGTGGTTGTTGAACCGTCTGTGCTTGCGCATCCCCACGAGTTTCAGGTAGAGCAAACGGTTGTGCATTTGTCTGAAACTGACAATTCCCACCGACACTTTTGTTCTGGCCTGAATGTCTGGTGTACACATTGCTCTGAGACCCCGTCGTCGTCACCGTCACCGCTGCGTAATAATCAGTAACATTGAGCTGACAATTACGTTGTTGTTGAGTGTTCGTTTCTTGGTTTATCGTCGGTGCCGCAACAGAAGAGCCATGGTGGGTGGATTGTGAAACTTGAGCATTAGTACAGAGACCCACCTTGATGTTGTTACCATTTGTTGCACCATACCGAGTTCCTGAAGAGGCCACTCGAGACCTTAGGTTACCCATATAAGAAGAACTTCTATCCTTTTGGATGATGTTGTTGCGAACACTGTGCACGGGTCGATTCTGCAACACATGATTGGCATTGTGTTGCTTGGTTCTAGACCTGGCTCTGACGTTTGAGAGGCTAGCAACACGAGTAGATGATGAGCAAGCCCGGATCCCAACCTGTTTTCGAGGCAAGACGTTCTGGGATAACCTTATGATATTTTGAGTAGGAGACCGTGAAAACTGGCGGGTCACTGTCGCAGAAGCTGGAAGGAGAGGCGTAGTAGAAGGTTTTGAAGATGGTTGGGTGGGCATAATTCCAGTCCTGAAGTATTCGCGTTGATTCTTCCATATCTTCTCTTTATCATTAGCATGGCAATGATCAATGGTGGAGTCACCGATACACCAGTATGGACATGGAGCACGAATGTCACACACATAACAGTGACACTTGAAAGTGAAACAAAAGGATTAGTATCTCTGTGGCTGGAGGATTAGGGAAAAAACTTTTAGATGCTTACCATGTCGCAGTATTTCTCGTGTGATGTTGAGTTAAATGAGTACTTGGCACAGGAATGTCTGGGATGAGGGAAATCTCTACATGCTATCTACAAAACAAATATTTTGCTTTTGATATTAGGGGAACACTTAGTACACACACAACACACCTGCATACATGGAAAACAGTTCAATGATCATCCATTCCTAAAACAGCTCCCACTCCAGAAATTTTGAAAAACAAAAACTCTGAGAAATAAATTACCAAGCCTGATAGCTAAACAAGAAGAGTTCAATGAGATTCAATACTAAAACAGTTTCCAGAAAAGAAGGGCTTCAAATTCTTCTACACGTGACGTGAAACTAGTCACTTAACAATCCCGATAGCTAAATAAGAACATCGAGACGAACATACAAACAAAACTAAAGCTTACAGAATCTGAAAATTAAGGCATATAAGTTAACGAGCGCTCACAAAATGGAAAAACGAAAGAGAAGCAAGAAATTGAGGTGGATTCGGATTCGATACCTCACCCTTTTGCCCCACTACAAGCACATCATCATCATCATCATCATCATCATCATTCTTCGCTAATTTATCATCGTCTTCTTCGACAGCAGAAGACTTGGCCGTCTTATCGGGATCACCGTCTAAAATCACACAATCGTCGTCTTCTTCCTCAGGAATTGGCTTCCGATACTGCGAATCTATGCCGCCTTTCACCTCAGAAATAACCTCGACTACATCGGTACTGTCCGATTTCTCATCGACGGCTTCCATAACCTGATTTAGCCAATCAAAGTAGCTTATGTCTACCCGTGAGTCGACCTCATCGTCTGAACTAACATCGACAACAACATGATTTCCCGAACCCATCGACGGAATTCCGAACAGGTCACACAAAAAGGATTTTTCGATGTAGAAAACAGGATCAAAAAAGGCATTTACGAAAATTTGATCGAATTAAGAGGATTAGAAAGAGCTTGAATTTCATTCGTAGGTCATGAAAAATGGATACTTTTGAGCATATAGAAATTGCTTAGGGTTTGGAGAACGCAGAAATTGAGTGAGGTAACGCTCGTCAATCTCTCAACAGACGACGATGACGATATACAAATTAACAAAAAGCATGTAAGGGTAAATTGTATGTCATTTTTTCGTGTTTCATGTATTGGGCCAGACCCAACTCGTTTTCTAGACTCCTGGTAAGTCCAGCCCAAACGATGGATGTATTTGAACACATTCCAAAATTCAATCGATTAGCCTTTTCTCCATTATAATGACGAGTTTGATCTTCATGAATAACTAGGTCACTGCAGCAATTATCATACACAATCACTTTTTTTTTTGTCATCTGAATTTTCATTAAAATAACATACAACGCACAAATAAGCACAATCACTAAAACAACCAAAAAATATAATTGGGTTTACTTTATTTCTTAAAAAAAAAAAAGACAACAGCAAACAAGTTTTCTTTTTCCTTCGAAGATAACAAAGATGTTTTTTTTAAAAGAAAAATGATGAAATATTTGTGGAAGAAAAAGATACACAATTCCCAAAGACCCAAAGTGGTGGGCAAAGAGCATGTGCGACCTCGGGCCTCGTTCACGGTTTAAATGCATCACCTTCCGCATATCCGCGTTCACTGCACGTTCTACCAAAATTCAACATTTGCATAATTTTTGATTTGTGCATGAAGATAGAAACACAAAATTAAAAGGTTACTCTTAGATGTTTTGTCATTTTTCCAAATATCTGTTTGATTTTGGTTATCACTTTTCAACCTTAAAAATGTTATAATTGTGTCAGATTAATTTATCATTGGATATTTTAAAGATCTCTATGGTTAAAGCTAAATAACAAATCATGATAATGAGATCATACCAAAAAACAAATTCATGATATTGAGTTATCCAGATTTACACCGTATATTCATTTTAAACAAGGTATCATCATTAGTTTATTGCATTTAAAAGTTTATAAAAGAAAAAGAAAAAACATAAGGTCGACTAAAACTATCAGTATTAAATAAATGAATGGTGCTCATACTCATAGCTGTTTCAACTTTCATGACGATATTTCTTTATTCAAGTCAAACGGATCACGTAACAGTCAAATACTCAAATCCAACGGCTGAGATCGAAGGAAGAATGTAGCGCGTGAGAGAGACATTCAAACCAACATACATACAATCTTTCAACCGTTTGGTTCGGTAAAGCGCCATCGCACGTTCAAAGTCAATTAAACGTTTACAAGCTAGCACCTCTAACTCTTTAGTTTTTCATTTATTGGTAAGCAAATTCTAATTCTTTTAGTTTTGTCCAAAAATTGACGGTTAGTAATATTGACGATTGACCCTTTTTCTACGGGTAAATGTTGTCCAAATGTTATAAAATATAGGGATATTATTGTTAATAGCTACTACATCAAGTTCGGAATTACTTCTGTCTATTACTCTATTAGACTATTACCATTATATAGTCGACATTTATGTTCGTATTTAGTAGGTATAAGATTCACTAGTATATTATTCTGACAATAGGCTAGAATTTTTTCACTCGTGATTAGATATCGTTGACCATCCATATATAGTAGTATATCTCTTATCTTTGTATATACGACTGTGTAAAATGTTAGTAGATTTTCATTCATACATATAATTTATTTCTTTATTATTTTTCTGCCATAAATTCACAATCCAAAGTGTTTCTCATATGATTTGATAGACCTACAATGAATTATGAAAATCTATCAAAATGTTTGTATAAGTATGGAAAAGAATTTAGAATGACATAAATTTTGATGAATACATATTTTTACAGAAAGAAAATTTAAAAAGTTTTTTCTTTGGTTATTAGGTTGTAAATATTTCCAGATTTTCACTAATATTATTAAAAGACTTTTCTATATTAAAAACAGGTCTATCTAAAGGTATTCAATATTCAAGAGTACTTGTATATGGAGCTAATAGTAACAAAATTGTACCAACCAGTTTAATTTGAAATTACTTTATCAAAATATGTCTTTATCTTTAATATGTTTAAGTAGCTAATATTGGTTAAAAATGATTTAAATGGTTAGATAAGAGTACTTAATTGAATATTTTTTTAGTAATATCACCAAGCAACATGGGAGAGAAGTAAATGGTAACGTATTATTTTGTCCAAACGAACAAAATATGATCTCGAACATTTTTCATGATTTTATCCATTTCATTAACTGTCATGAGAGGAATGATTTTTATCCATTTCATATACTGTGCATTTTATTATATCTACTGTTCTATATAATTTTTTCATGCGATAGATATTATTTTATTCATCTAAATATATTTATAACTTTTTAAGTTTTTTTTTTATGAAAAACATGTTATATTTTTACCCAAATTTTTAGTGGTATTTTTTTTTTTGCTATTTCCTAATAACAATTCTAACGGATTGTAAATTACCTAGATACTTCCTTTTTTGTGTATTTACCTAGATACTTCTTCATTTCTTGCTATCTACCTAGTTAAAGTTTTGTTAGTTTTATTATGTTTTAAGTAAATAAATCAAGTCTCTACTCTCTAGTCTAACAACAACAGAAACAAATAAAGCTAGCAAAAAAAAAGAAACAAATAAAGTTAGATAAAACAAGTCAAATTTCCTTAAAAATTGATTTTGGGTGTTTGCTCATAACATGAAGGCCACGTTTATAGTACAAGTACTAAAAGGAATAAAGAAAAACGTGAGGGGGTAAAAGGAAAATAAAGCTAACAAAAGATATTTGCACCTGAGCTGTTCTTCTCCTGGTCTCAAGTATAACCTCCCCTTTTACGTAAAATTCTATTTTTAGTAGAAACTTTATTCACCTGTGTTTTTGGCCCCTACAGACAAAAGAAAAAAAAAAACGAAAAGGGCAACAAAAAAAAGAAGAAGATTCAATTCCTTGTTTGTCAATAATCATCTCTCTCCCTAATCCTCAAGCCGCGCATTCATCTCGTTCCCTCCATAATCCAAGCTTCCGTTACAAGATTGATTTTTATTTATCTTTTGGATTTTCATCTTTGAAAAAAAAAAAAAAATCCCCAGGAGCACTGATTTTGCTGGAGGATTTGGAGGTATCTCGTTCTTCAATTCATGTCTCTAAATTTCACTATTGTTGACTTGTTGTGATCATTTTTTTTTATTCGAGTTTTTCTAGCTTTTCGATTCGCATAGCTGGGGTTAGCTTGAACCTTGGAATACATACATAGAACGAACTCCTTTTGTTTTAATTTCTCATGATTTCAACTAGATTCGAAAATTAGGGTTTCGTTTTGGTTGTTTCGATGAGGAAGAAAGCTTCCGAGCAATAGGCTATGAGATGGTTAGATTCTTCAAGGTGTTTTTTTTTTTTTGGTTTTAAGGAATTGCAATTTGGTTCCGACAAGGTTGTATAAATTACTTATGTTGTTGATGTTATGATTTTTCTTATGTTTTTTAGCAGAAATTTAGGCTATACTGGTTATTGATGCTGTTGAAGGGGGAAGTGTTGCACGAAGCCTGGTATTAAAACGGATATGCAGGGAGACGTGTTGGCAATTCATCGGGGAGATCGAAACAGAGATGATATTTTAAGATATCCGAAGAAGACAGATGATTGTGGAAGCGAGCCCTTCAGGGATGGAGATGAGGATGAATGGAGAGCATCGAGTAGAGATGAGCAGAATACGTTGGACATGATTCAGAGAGGTAGGTCGTTGGAGAGAGATGAAGAAGGAGAGCAAGTGATTACACCTAGGAAAAATGATAGCTGTTCACCGCGTGTAGACGCATTGGAAGATAAACGTGACACTTTGAAAGCTAGCAGTGAAAAAGAAGATGGGTGGTGTTCATCTGAGAGCGTTAAGAAAGAAGACGAACAAGCTTTGTTGGAGAGAGATGTAAAGGTAGTAGGCTCAGGTTCACCGGAGAGGGAGGGCATGAAAGACGCCTCAAATGTTCTTACTAGAGATATGGATATACAAGTGTCAAATGGTCTAGCTAAAGCAGATGAAATCCGTCATCTGAAGCTGGGTGGAACCGAAGAAGCTACAGGAACATGTAATAGATGTGAAGATAGGGATGAGAACAGTGTGTTTGGAAAGGACGGCGAAGATAATCCGAGTTTGATGCCGAGGGAAAAAGATGATGAACCTCAGAGTCTAACATGTGAGACACAAGTTGCTGACACAACTGTTAGAAAGATGGAAATGAGAGAAGTTACAGGAGAGCAAGACTCCCCCTCTTGTACTCCGGATGGAGTTAAAGTAGCTGGAGAGACATTTCAAAACGTTTACTTCAATGGACCAGTCTTACCACAGTCACCATCACTTGGACATAGGCGCACCCAAAGTGAGATTGGGACTCCAGGACACAGGCGCACAAACAGTTTCCAGAGATTGAAAACACAGATGCAGAAAGCTTGGCGTGGGGTTAGCAATCTACGAGAGGATAACCGGCCCACGTTCAATCCTGAGGTCTTAGCTAACCAAAAAAGGCAGTGGTACCAGCTCCACTCTTCAAAAGCTCTGGTATTCAGTCTTTCTAGTGTGTCCTATCAAACCTTCGAAACAAACTTTTGGCTAAAAAACGTCTGATCTGGCATAGCACATTAGCTGACTAATGTTTTTCACTTGATAAACACTCTAGGATCAAACAAAATCGAAGGAGCCAACCTCACTATTTGAACATTTTATCATTGTGGGGCTTCATCCGGAAACGGATTTGAAGCCAGTGGAGGAGGCATTTCGTAGAAGGAAGAAGTGGGAGATGGAAATGTCAAGGTATGAAGTGGCAGACTACAGAATACTCCGTCACCGTGGGCCTCAATTTCCAATATTGGAACCACAGGTTCGTGCTACGTTGGTTTTTTCTTTGTGTTGCCATAGTTTGGGCATGCTTAGAGATTAACATGAGACACATATTCTGTTTTTTATTCATCATTTTTGTTTTGTCTACTTTGTTTGCCATTCTCTTATTTATTGTTTGATTTGTTCTCGCTTGCCGCTTCCATTATCAATATGCGTCTGTTCTACTTCATGGCAGATTTAGTTGGATTCTTTCTTCATTTAATCAACTTTCATTCCATTCACAGATACTTTTTAAATATCCTCCTGGGAAGAAGGTGGCAATGCGTCCAAAGGATCTAGCAACTTTCTGCTTTCCTGGTGGTGTCAAGGTGTGATATGCATCGTCTGTTTCTCTTTATAAATTTTTGATTACCCGTCAATATGCATTGGTATATTATTAGTTATGAGCCATCTCGGTTAGTTACAGCATTTACCTAGAATTGGTTCATACTGCTGGTAAAAATATACGTCACAATTTATTGTTGGGTTATTCTGTGATATCAGCCACTAAGCTTGTTAAAATGTGAATTTTCTTAACAGGCACGACTCTTGGAGAGGACCCCATCTCTCAGTGATCTAAACGAGCTTGTGTATGGACAGGTCCGAAAATGCTTCTGAATAAAATACCTGTCTGAGCTTCTGTAGTTCATCTATGTGACTTAGAATATAGGTTTCATATCATGATACTTCTGAGTTTACTGCAGGAACATTTAGGCACAGATGATTCATCATTCATATTTTCGTTCAAGGTAATCTATATTTTCTTTATGCCAGACATCGACTAGCCATGTAAACACTTGCATGAGGCTCGCGAAATTCTCCTTTTCAGGTAGCAGATGATGCGACATTGTATGGTGTTTGCTTACACGTCTCGGAGATAGTTCAGAGACCCCCTGGTGTGTTAAGCACTGCGTCACCCTTGCATTCATCTGGAGGAGGCAGTCGTTTTTTGGTTTCTGCACCTCGATGCTATTGCTTGCTGACCAGAGTCCCTTTTTTTGAGCTACACTTTGAAATGTTAAACAGGTACAAAAGATGCCCCTACTGTTAGTAGTGGTTTTTCCTTGCATTAATTAAAGACCAAAAAACTTGAACTGGTGGTGGTTTACTTGTTGATGCAGTATGATTGCACAGGAGCGTCTAAAACGGATAACCGAATTTGTTAGTGAGATGTCTCTTGCTGCTGCATGCCATAGCCCATCAATTTCTAGAATGAATGGCTGTGTTTCTTCACCTCGTAGCAACCCTGATGATTGGATGGCTTCTGCAATCCCTGTAGATGGAGTCATGGCACTCACGGCCGCTGCTGCAGGATTGATATCTGATAGTGACATTGCAAAGTTTTCAGAACCACAATCTCCAGATAGTGTTGTCACCAGTGATGCCTCAGATGTAAGTCAAATCAAAGAAATAGAAAGAGATGGGAGGAAAGTTTTCCATTGTTACGATGATAATTCTACTGAAGTATTTGAGAACCACTTGGATACCCCCGAACGAGCGTCCCAAAGCTATGAGAATGGCCACGCTTCTCCAGAAGTTACATGTGCTGATCCTAGGACCCAACCGATAGAGCGTATTGAAAGCTGTGATTCTGTGTTTAGGTAAGTTAACAATTTTATCTTACAAAGATTGATCTAACCACTTCTTACCTCCCGAAATTTAATCAAGTCATCCAGTTGTCTTTTTGTCAATTGACGTTATGATTCAGTTCTCTACATTCAGATTTACCCTTTTATATATGGCAGTTCAGCTAGAAGCGTGTTGTCTGATGAAGTTGATGATTTATCAAATAGCGAAAATGATTTTGGAGATGATCTAATACTGGAATGGGCTAGAGTAAGGAAATTACCAGTTGCTTTACCAATTTGTCACTCTATTATCTCTTGTTCATTGTTCTCATGTACTGTGATATGGTATCTTCTTCATAGGAACACAATAATGATTCGTTACAACTAATTTGCGGCTACCACTCGTTGGCAATTCCCTCCCATGGAAGTGCGGTAGTTTTCCAACCGCTGGAACATTTACAATCCATCGAGTATACCCGTCCCCCTGTTTCAGCTCTAGGATTGTCAGAAGAATATATCTGCTCTTCTGATTCTTCCGGGGTATAATTTTTATCCTTTTGTTGTCTCGTCTCTAAATTTATAATCTCATCTCAACCACTTTTCTTCTTCTTCTTCTTTCCCAAAGATAAATGCAAGGTTGGCAGCTGCAGAGGAGGCCATGGGTCTCTCAATGTGGACAACGGCAACAGTTTGCCGGATTCTCTCTCTTGAAACTGTACGGCCTCTTCTCAGCATTCTTTCTTTCCTACTATTTTGCGTTGGATGCAACGACCATCTCTTCTTTATGCTTTGAGTTGGTGATTTCATAGGTAACAAATATCTGAAGTAACAAAAGTATTTTTTTTTTTTTCCTTCCAGATTATGTCACTACTTGCTGGAGTATTATTAGAGAAGCAAATTGTGATAATCTGCCCAAATCTGGTTAGTTAAATCTGCCCTCTTATCGTTATTCATCTCCAGTCCCTTGGGGAGATTTAAATGGAAATGATCACTTGAACTAACCGACAACTATTGTAGGGTGTTTTGTCAGCAATAGTACTGTCTCTTGTCCCAATGATTCGGCCGTTTCAGTGGCAGAGTTTATTGCTTCCAGTAAGTAATGACATCACTAGAAAACAATCCACCAATCAGACAATAGTTTCCTTGTCCTAACTTCTCTCTGTTGTCTTCAGGTTCTGCCGGGGAGGATGTTTGACTTCCTGGAGGCACCGGTTCCCTTCCTTGTAAGTTTTATTTTGCATATGAATTAATAGTCGTGCCGTGTCTTTACTATCTATATGATTACTTATTCCCGAGGAGATGAATGTTCATCAGTCTATAGGAAACCACCAAAATCCCAAATTTAGTGGATGTTGGAACGTAAATCATGAACTCTTATATGTTTTTTGTTGCTCACACGGTCTGCGTTTGCGCCACCTGGCAGGTCGGTATACACAGTAAACCTACTGATTGGAAGGTCAAGACGTCGAATCTTATTCTAGTTAACATTCTCAACAATCAGGTTTGGTGGCTTTATCATGGAAGTCTCTTACTCTTTCTTTCTGTCAACTATACAAAACCGATAACTCAAGGCATGTGAACGCGTACTCTATTTCTTCAGGTGAAAATATGTAACATGCCAGCATTGCCTCAGCGTAGAGAACTTATGGCTCAGTTGGCTCCAATCCATGAAACGCTGGCTCATCATAGCTCGACCGCTAGAAGACACCCAGTTTATAAATGCAATGAAGTACAAGTAAGTAGCTACCAATGCACGTACGAAAACTAAAGTTACTAGAATTCTAATTTCATATGGCCGAATGTTCTCAGGCAGAAGCTGCGAGTAGATTCTTGAGAGTAATGAGAGATTATATGGAGTCTCTTTGCTCAGATTTACACTCTCACACCATAACAAGTGTTCAATCCAATAGCGACAGGGTACTTACTCCACAAAGCGTAACAAGAAGTACTTTCTCTAAATCTATCAATCTCTCACTGTCTAAAATCTTTATTTCTCAGGTGTCATTACTACTAAAGGACAGTTTTATCGATTCATTTCCTGGTAGAGACCGGCCCTTCATTAAGGTACAAAATCCTAGTCCGATCTTGGCTTCAGTTTCCGGTATTCTCATTGGAATCCAGGGCTTACATGTTTATTTTGGTTGTTCTGGGTTTTGTAGTTATTTGTAGACACACAACTGTTTAGCGTTCTATCAGACTCACGGCTCTCGAGCTTTGAGAACGGGCGTCTCTAAAGCTCATTTTGTCATCAACTTATACAATACAAACTGAAGAAACCAACCAAAGTCAAATCATATGAAGAAAAACAAACAAACAAAAATGGGGAAAGCAAAAGAGTGTAACTTTACTAGCCCTTATACGCAGAGAAGACTTTACAGGTGATGAATACAAATGTTTTAACTCAGATTTTATTGCAGTGGAGAAATTAAGAAAACAAAATTATCACCGCTTAATAGACAAACTTGTTGATTGTCCTTGTAAATTAATCACCGCTTAATAGAGAAGCTTTTGTTTGTTAAGATTGTATAGAACACTTGAAAACCCTATTTGCTTAATTCAAGTGCTTGATTTGATTTTTCACAATAATTCTCTCACAGGAGAACATATTTATGATCTCTTATTTCGGTTGATAGGCCAGTTCTATTTTGTATATGGATGCTGAGTTTAGACTCCCGTGTAGTTATCTTCTAAAATTAATTTTTTACATGATTACATCTTATATGCTATACAATTTTGTTCGTTTTGAAAGAAAATTGTGTATTGCTAATTTCTTTTTTCTTTTTTTAGCATCAATAACTTTTGCCCCAAATCAAATCAATTTAATACGCGATTCCGTCATTCTTACGTCAATAACCTGCAATTTAGCAAATTCTGTTAAAAATGAGCAGAATGTCAGAATGTCAGAATGCAATTCCGGGATTAAAAAACAATTCGTTCTCTTACTCTCTCTAATGTGCCATGATATGATCTATTATATTATACATAATACAAGAAAACGGTATGGATTTTCCTTTGAGGCGAGCTCGGGAACCGAATCCTGAGGTGAAGTACTTTTGGAAACACTAATTATTTTTTGACGTCATTATCTTCTTCTTCTTCATCGTCAGATTTAGCAAAGATGGTCTTGGGCTGGGTCTGCGAGTAAGCAGGTGCAATAAACTTAGGATCCTTAACAGCAACTTCTGCGTATTTCAATATTGCTTCTCTTGGATCTTCCTCCATCCAAGTCTCTTTTATCATCCCACCTTGCTGCAAAACACACAACAACGACAAAATGTCAATACATTACAGAATCACAGATAACTCGAGTGTCCAAGAACTCGAAGAAGATACCGCAGCGCCTTACCTTGAGAAGATACTGTGTTAATAAGCCGCTACCAGTTGTACCAACTCTTCCACCGTGACCAGGACCTGTCATGGGAAGCTCAGGTTTATGGGCTTTAGCAGGATCCTTCAATGTTTTCTCTCTTTGTCGTTTACGGCTTGGTGGGTCTCTGAACAGTGGTAATGCATGAGGATTGTGTATTACTGGTTCTGGTTGGTAATCGTCCACAGATTTCTTCCTTGGTGCACGTGCAACACAGACGCATGCACCTCTCTCGCTCTGAGTTGGATCGTAAAGAATGTGAGTTCCTCCTTGGCTTTTGTCTCCCGATGTTGCAAATATCTAGTACAAACAATAGAAACCTCTTAGTGTGAATTCCAAGATAAAATCTTTAGAGGAACGGAACACTGCCTTTGTTGTTGTTGTTGTTGTTGTTGTTGTTGCTTACCTGATTCAACCTCGGGTGCCAAGCGCATTGCACCACGCTGCAAGTTGGAGATATGCCGACTTTTTGAACAATCTCGAGTTTGGTGCGGTCGTAGAAGCAGAGCAAGCCTCCCGTTTTACTGTCTTTCTCAACGGATGTTCCAGTCAGGATGATTTGTTCATCTGGACTAAAGGCAACGTTTGTTTGCGCATAATTATTAGGAAGACCCTCGAATGCCTTTAGAGCTTCTTTCATCTGCCGCAAGTCCCAGACCTGATCAAGATTCAAGAAAAGTGTTCAGTTTTAAACTGCTGACCAAACTGGAATAAAAAACAGCATGATGATTCAAGGTTTTACCTTTAGAGAACCATCAAAACTTCTTGACACCAGAATTCTCCCATCGCTAGAGAACTTAACAGAAGTTATATCATCAGTGTGGGCTTTCCCAACGTATACATCGGGTCGGCTTCCCCAGCCGGGCTTGAGACTCCAAATCTGGATCGATAATCAACAAAGATATAAGAATAATTCATCTACGGAAAGAGAAAAGTATGACCATTCATCCATACCAGATTACTATCATATTCTTAGCTTGTTCGACTAGACAAAACATATAGTTTCTGTAACAGAGTCTATATCAGAGGATCAGAGCAAGCCATTGGACATGATTTCCATTACCTGTATAGATCCATCTCCAATGCCACCAGCGATACGCTTTCCTTCACGATCCCAAGCACAGGTTGTAACTGGAATCCTCCCCGGTCTAGCAAGCTTCGGTTTAATAACCTGTCCAAGAAACAGTGAAATGATGTCACTTGCATGCTATAATCAAACAAAGATCTTAGTCCTTATACGTTAGCATAGACAGGATAAAACGTACCTGCGTTTGGCTTAGGAAGTTATTAACATCCCATATACGCAAAGACCCGTCTTCTGAAGAAGTCAGAATCGTTTCCTTAGTCCTCGGATGCCATTCTCCGCAAGTCAACCCGCAAATATGGCCCTTAGTGTTCTTCAGATCACGGATGTACATATCCCCTTTCATGAACTCACCAAGTGTGAGACCATCACGATCATAAATCTGAAATTCAGAAAGAAGAAACGAATGTGAGCAATTCAAAAAGATGATAGAGAATTGTAGAAGAGGAGCGTTTTTCATGAGACGTACCTTAGCTTGTGCGGAGCCAGTGACGCATAGAAATTGACCAGAAGTGGGACTCCAGCTCAAGCTGCGAACTTGGTGACCTTCACATGGTTCGAACTGCCTAAAAGACTGAAGCCTTGAATTCATCCCTTGAAAATCGTACATACGAACAGTGTAGTCATAGCTTCCCGAGAGAACTCTAGCTCCGGCACTATCAACAGCGAGAGATGAAACAATCTGTTCCAAGAAACATTCCACTTTCGAATTCAGAACTCCATAAAGAAAAGCACTTTAAACCCAGAATTACTGTGAATTTTAGACTGTTTCGTATACCTTCGTATGTCCTTTTAGCTGGATCTCGTTGCTCAATGGGATTTTGTACCGATTCTCCTCGTTGTCATAAACACCGTCGTCATCGGAATCTTCATCGGAATCTACAATAGCAGTCGGAGGCGGTGGCGGAGGACCGATCATATCCTCTTCATCATCAGAATCATTACCAATGCCGGATCCCTTTGCCGGCGGCGGTGGTGGCCCTATCATACCTCCGTCATCCTCTTCATCCTCTTGCGTCGGTTTAGCCGGAGGCGGAGGTGGCCCCATCATACCTCCTACGGCTACATCATCTTCGGAGGGAGCTTGGCTGGAGTTATTAGGGTTACGATTCGGACCGCGAACACTTCGGAGCCAGGATGCAGAAGAGGAAGATAGAGACGGGAATCCGGATTCAGATTTACCGGAAGAAGGCTTCTTGCTGACGACATCCGACGAAACTCCGGCGTCTGTACCTGCATCGGTGCGGCGAGTTGCGCTGTGGAGGGCCTCGATTGGCGCCGAAGCTTTCGATGTCTTACCAAACGAAATAGGAAAATGAGCTCGCAGACCTTCCAATTCATCCTCCATTGCTTACGTCTTCTTCTTCTCAGAATTTTGATTTGGAATTCGTCTTTATATAACGGCCGGTGACCTCGCCGCCATGGAAATTCTCGTTGCTCTACCGGCGAATAAAGATGGTGGCGGTTAAGTCCATAGACACAACCATATTGGGCCTAAACGTATAAGGCATATTCTTTAATTATGAATTAGACCTCAACCAGACGGCCCAATTAAACCCATTTTACCCCATTTTACGATGCCGGTTTTCCCGGTTCACATGGAAACCCTATGTGGTTAAATCAATGCGTACAAACTAAAGTTTTTTTTTCTTCTTCTAGTTTTTTTTTTTTTTTTTTTCGAAAATGTTAAGATTTCATACCAGATTTTAGGATTTATACAGAGTTGTGGCAAGCCACTTATTAGAAGAAATACAGGATGGAAGAAGAGAGATTACATATTAGCTAATAGGACCAAGATGCTGAAAGTAAAGCTCGAGCAACGATTGAGAAGAGAGGCTCCTGGCTGGATAGGAGAAGAGCCAATCCCTTATCAAACTGTCAACACGGACACGAAGAACGGTAACCGAAGACTTCGAGGCGGTAAACACGTGGGCATTACGCTCCTTCCACAAAGCGTATAAGATGCACTGAAACATCAACTTGGCGAGGACTTGGAGAGGGCGAGAGGTAGTTGAGTTCCTGCTAACAATCCATGGTGCCACAGCTTGGAGAGACAGTGGGGGGTTAGACCAGATAGAACCTGCAAACCGAGTCCAGAGATCTGAAGAGACTGGACATCGAAAAAATAGATGCTCATATTCCAGGTCTGCATTGCAGAGAGAGCAAACAGCTTGAATCGACATTCCCCATCTCAAGAGACGATCTCTAGTGGGTAAGCGCCCAAGCATAGCAAGCCATGCTATGAAGGAGCAGCGAGGAATCTCCTCTTTAAACCAGACAAACTTATGCCACAAAACAGTCGGAGATGAGTGTCGAATATGATCCCAAGTGACCTTAGAGGAAAATGAAGGTCCAAACGACCCCCAGCATTACGCCAAAGGTAGTAATCATCGCCCATGGAACTGGATGGGGGAGTGATGGTACTGAGGACAATATGAAGAGTCTCAGAGAGGTCAGAACGAGCCGCCGGCTAGGCTTCACCCAAAGCATTTTCTTAAACGTGACACTTGTTATAATATAAAAAAAATCAAAAATCATAATTTTATATTAATGCATTTATAACCTAGTGGTTTATGTGATTACATTCTCTATATCGTCACCATTCAAACCCAAATAATACATAATACATGCATGTATTTTGTTGACCAAAATTATAGAAATTTCTGAAAGAAAAATTTCAATTTTTCCTACAAAATCGTTCACTAAAAAATAACAGATCTCAAGTCCCAAATTCTACAGATTAATAGAGGCAAGTTTATAAAAAAAATCTTCAACATGGTACAAATGGAACCGTTCATCGTGATTATGAGATCTTTGTGGAATGGGTAGCATTATCCGTTGTAAAATTATTTTTGTAATAGTTCTCTTAATTAATTTGTTCAATGTTAAAAAAAAAAAGAGTAACAGATTTCCTAACTAATTCTTTCTTTATACAAATGACAGCCAAATCTTGCAACTTCTTTTGTGATATTTTTCTTTCTTTATAAAAATGACAGCCAAATCTTGCAACCTCTTTTGTGATATTTAATATCAATAGTGTCATGCACTTCTTAAAACAAATATGAATTATCCCAAACAGTACCTAGTATTTAGTTAAAATACACAGTTTAATTTTTAACATTTTCCTTCTCTGGTTCGATTTTCTACTCTGTTTCTAGACATTTTCACGTTAATTAATTCAATCACAAAATGCAGATTTAAAAAAATAAAATTAACTTTGAAAAATAAAATGTGACCCAATAATTTTTACTTAATTTGTGGTCTTAGGGAAATGCCTTTTCAACAATACCTCAAGCAAAGCACAGCTTTGACTAAGAAAAGAAGAAAATTTACAAAATGTAAACTACCAATAATAAATGTAATGGAAAAAGTGTTCATATTGGTTCATCTCATGAGGGCGAAAAAGCGAATGAAAAAACAAAAATCGATAGTTTCATCAATGTGGTGTTTTTCAAAAAATATTCTATCGCTAAAATCAATATTTTTGACGAAAACTATCGATAATTAATTTTGACCATATGATAAAAATCAGGCTGTAGAAAAGTAGTTTGCGGTTTATTATGTCGTTTTTTGAGCAAGATAGTGGTGAAATCAATGAGAATTTTTTTTTCGTAATTCATGGTAAATCTCAAACTTACGGAAAGGCTCAAGGCTCAGACTAATCATTGGGAAGGTACAGTCTATGGATATACCTTTTCTCTGGATATTCAAATGAGTCTGAAAGCAAAAATCCATATCTATGTAATATAGTTGTGCATATCAGATAGATCCAACTTGAAATGGTGTCCCAAATCCGTCTCCTTACCATTTGACTACAAGACCTTGAACGAATATGTAAAAGAAGAAGACAAAATGCCTATTTGTATGGGGAATGATGGTTATTTTTTCTCTCTTATTGACCAAGTCAAGATCGTATACTAGATCAAGAGCCGGTTGCAACTGTTCAGAAAGCTGAGTATAGGATCCACCTTAATTAGTTTACTATGCGACGTATACGTATGCCAACTGTTCTATTGTAAATCTCGAGGATCAAGGGTTTATATCATGGCAGTTTTTCGAATCTTTTGACCATTTGTTCGCTACTATTGTTATCCGCATAATTTTGATACATGTTTCCCTTTTTTCTAAGTTGCTATGCAAGAGACTCAAGAGAGCTCTTCCAAACTTGATTTCAGAGACACAATCAGCCTTTGTGGCCAAAAGGCTGATAACCGATAATATTCTGCTTGCGCAAGAAAATTTTCATGCCCTTCGTACGAATACTAGTTGTCGACTTGAGTTTATGGCTATCAAAACGGATATGAGCAAGGCGTATGATAGAGTTGAATGGAGCTTTATTGAAACTTTAATGCTAAAGATGGGGTTTGATCAGAGATGGATTAAATTATTAATGTGCTGTATTACCTCGGTTTCATATCAGGTTATATTAAACGGAGAACCGAGAGGCAAGATCAAACCCTCGAGAGGGCTACGTCAAGGAGACCCACTTTCACCCTTCCTGTTCATCATTTGTACAGAGGCACTAATCTCCCTCCTAAATGGAGCGGAAGAAGAGAAACGTATCATGGGATTGCGTGTCGCACGAGCAAGCCCACGGGTCTCGCATTTATTGTTCGCGGATGATAGCCTTTTTTTCTGCAAAGCGGAGGTCGGACAATGTGAGGAGATCCTGAAAATTTTAAACATGTATGGCAATGCTTCAGGACAACGTCTAAACACTGCAAAATCTTCTATAGTTTTTGGAAATAAGGTTGACCAGACTACAAGACAAGAGATAAAAACCATTACTGGTATTTCTACAGAAGGTGGCATGGGAAAGTATCTGGGAATCCCAGAGGAAATTTGTGGCTCAAAGATGAAAGTTTTCTCTTTTGTTCAAGACCGTCTTAATAACCGGGTGAATTCATGGTCAGCTCGACTTCTTTCTAAGGGAGGAAAAGAGATTCAAATAAAGTCTGTAGCCCAAGCACTGCCGACATATGTTATGTCATGCTTCCTGCTACCACAAGGTCTTTTAGATAAACTTAATAGTGCAATATCAAACTTCTGGTGGAGTTCCAAACAAAATAGCAGGGGTTTACATTGGATTGCATGGGATAAAATTTGTACTCCCCAAGATAGAGGCGGGTTGGGATTCAGAGACCTCCATGATTTTAATATCGCCTTGCTTGCAAAACAATTGTGGAGGCTTATTCAGTTCCCCTCGTCCTTACTTGCGAGAGTCCTTCGAGGAAGATATTATAATAGATCATGCCCGCTAGAAGACAGGAGAGTTTACTCACCGTCATTTGGTTGGCGTAGTATTCTCGCCGCAAAAACCTTTTTAAAGCTTGGTTTGAGGAAGACTATTGGTTCGGGCCTTAATACTAGAGTCTGGAGTGAACCGTGGATCCCGGATATGCCAGCCAGACCCGCAAGAGCTTCAGTCGGGATAGGCTATCGCCACCCTCAACTCATGGTTCATACATTTATTAGACGAGATACTAAAGAGTGGAATATTCCCCTCCTTCATGAATACTTCCAACCTGAGGATATCCCTCTTATCCTTGGGTTGAGACCTAGTCGTAATTTTTCCCTTGATGGGTATGCATGGAATCACACAAAATCAGGAACTTATACGGTGAAATCCGGATATGATTTAATCCGAGAGTTTAACTTACGTGGGAACCCGGAGGAGGCGATAGAACCAAGTATCACTTGCCTCCAAAGTCACGTTTGGAAAGTCCGCACAGCGAGGAAACTAAAACATTTCATGTGGCAAGCGCTTTCAGGATGTGTGGCAACTTGTGAAAAATTAACTTATAGACACCTTGGCAATGATAGGAGCTGCCCTAGATGTGGGGGCTCTGAGGAATCTATCAACCATTTTCTTTTTGAATGTCCCCCAGCTTTACAAGTTTGGGCTTTATCGGACTTCCCGTCCCTTCCGGGCTTCTTCCCGTGTAGTTCTATTTACCGAAATATGGACTTCCTATTTTGGAGAACAAAAGAAGTGGGTCTAGTTGAACCACATAAAGACATCTATCCTTGGATCATATGGTTCATATGGAAAGCAAGAAACGATAAATTATTTAACGGAAAAGATACTCCAGCGGTGAAAACACTCCAGTTAGCTTCACTCGAAGCAGAAAGCTGGAGGATAGCGAACCAAAGAGAATGTGAGGAAGAGACTGAGGTCCCACAGGCTCACGACAACTCTTATACCCCACCTTTAATACCATGAATCCCAAACTGCCAAATCGATGCTTCTTGGATCGACCATGGTTTAGTTAGTGGACTAGGATGGAGCTATAAGGACATTATGGGACAAGAGGTTTTTGGACTCCAAGGATGCCGCAAAAGTATCTCATCATTACATGCGGAGATGGATGCTCTTCTTTGGGTTATGCTATGCCTAAAAGATAAACACATTTTAACGATACAAATTG